ATAAAACCAACTGTTTCATAAAAACACAAATATATTTTTAAACCATTTACAATGGAAAACTGAATTCAAGGTATTTATCCATAGATAATATTGTATATATATATATATCTTCAACAGGTCATATACTCTTGGAAATCTTAATTCTTACCAAATTGATTTCAGATATTTGATTGCACCTAGAGCCATGATGGCAAATCTATGGCACACATGCCACAGGTGGTATGTGTAGCCTTCTCTGTTGGCACGCGAGCCATTGCCCCAGCTCAGCTCCATAGTGCATGCATGCACACCTCTTGCCAGCCAGCTGATTTTGGGGTCTCTGCTGTGCATGTGTGGGGTGCATGTGGGAGACACATGTGTATGTGCAAGGGGGATCACAAATGCATGTGCAGGGGTGGGGAGAGGCATACCCTTTACCCCGTTTTTAGTCCCTGGAGGCTTCAGGGAGGCCTGCTAGCCCAAAATAGGCTGTGGGGAGTGCAGCGACCCCGTGCCCCATTTTTGGTCCCAGGAAGCTGCAGGGAGGCCTTCTAGATCCAAAATGGGGCATGGGGTGTGTGTGTCATGCATGCATGTTGGGAGAGCGCAAGGGGATCACATGTGCATGCATAGGGGTGGCGGGGCACATGGCGGGGTGGTGTGCGTGCATTGTATTATGGGTGTGGCCATTTGCACACATTCAGCATGCAATGTTAAAAAGGTTAGCCATCACTGGCTTAGAGACTTGCTTCTCTAGAAATAATGAAAGCTAAGATTTCAATGTTAGTATCATTTTTCTGCATTTATAAAATCCACATATATTTTAGACCCTCTTAAAGGAATATGTTAGAAATGTTCCCATAGCAAATCCCACAGAAGAAATTATAACTAAGATCGAAATCGTCTATTGTATGATCAGCATGGCTACCAACCCAATTCCAGTTCATATTTGTTTTAATCTACTTTTTCAGAATACGAATTAATTCTGGCATAATTTTTGTTTAATTAATTGAATTCATTAAAATTTTAATTAATCAACCAAAGATTTGCCTCCATAACCTTATACACCTTATTCTACAGAGAGTTATCACCAGCTGCTCTGCCATCATCATGGGTCAGTCTCATGTGCTGCAGGAGTCTTTAATTACCCATGTAGTTTACGATCGAATACTTTATCTAGATTAAAATTACATAAAGAATGAACAGCAAAAGTTTTACCGTGAAAACCTTCTGAAGACTTGCTTGTTCCAACTTCTTTCCATAGTTTAACATATCTAGGTAAACAATAAGCAGTGAATAAAATGGAGCAGTAATAACTTGCAATCCATACTTTAGAGCAGGGGTATAAAATTTGCAGCCCGTGGGCAGGATGCATCATGCACTGGCCGTGCCCACCCCCGTTTTAGTGAAGGGGGGAACAGTTGCGATATGGCACGAATATGCGAATTTAACAGCCCTGCTTTAGAGAAGCCACAGAGTTCGACTCCTTATCAGCCAAGCCAGGGTGAAAAGTGTGTGTGTATATATGTGTGTGTGTGTGTGTGTGTGTGTGTGTGTGTGTGTGTTGTGCTGATAAACAAAGGCAACAG